CAGTGGGTGGCACTCGGACTCCAAAGCAAATCGCGGTTGCCCGAGGTCATCACACAGCTGTGAGCCCGGAGTCCACAGACACGACCCCAGTGGGTGACGAGAGGCTCCTTTCCCCCGAGTGACAGTGCACGTGACGGCTCGATGTCACCCTGGCTGGAGGAGGAAGCCGGCGTCTCCTCGTGCTGGCCTCGGGACTGCCTCTCCCTCTCCCCAGTGCCGTCCGTCCGCTCCACGAGGCGGGGGGCAGGGGAGTCGGTGACGCAGCGGCTTCTGCACAGAACTGTGCTGTTCGCTCCTCGCTTTCTCCAGTTGCTTTTTCCAGGAGAACAAGCGTGCAGCCTCTGGGGGCGCACGGGGGTCACTTTGTCTTGGGGGTGGGTGCTGTAGGCCTCTGGTCTGGGAGCTGGAACCCGCTCCCGTGAGCGATGCTGGTTTGGGCGCAGCCCCTGACGCACTTTACACGGGGTCTGCACGCCGGGCGAGTGTGCACTTCCAGCGTGGGGACCGCTGGCCGGGCGTCCGAGGCCCCGTGGGGACCCCGCGTCGGCAGGGCGGCTGCTCACTCCCTCTTCGCCCGGGCCGCCCCAGCCCCAGCCCCAGCCCCAGCCCCTGACAGCTCCGCCAGGGGCACCGTCCTCGACAGGGAGCTGGGAAAGCAAGCGGGCGAGGCCTCGCGGAGCTGTGACCGTTTCTCCCTTTGCCTTTCCAGCCGGAAGACTCGGCAGGGAGCCTGCACAGTTTTAAGAGCAAGGTCTTCAGGAGAGCCCGGGTCTGCGGGGTCTGCAAGCAGACCATCGACGGCCGAGGGGTTTCGTGCCGGGGTGAGTCGCGTCGCATGTTCGTCCTCCCGCCGGCTCAGCGAAGCGGCACAGGCAACAAACACGGAACAAAAACGAGAACCCTCCGGGGGTTTCCGAAAGTTAAACCGCGGAATTCCCCTTCCTGGCCCGCTGGCCCCCCGGCCTCCCGGGGCCGGGCCGGGGCCGTGTTCACGCAGGCAGGTGCGCGGGAGGGGATCTCCCCGAAAGCGCTGCGCCACCGGCGGGGGGCGGGGCCGCACGGCGGTCTCCGTGTGGCTGGGGTGACTCGTCTGCCCCTTCCGGTCTTCTGCCAAGGTTTGCGATGAAGCGTGTCGGCCCCCAGCGCCAGGGCTCAGGGAGTGGTGGTCCCCCAAGGCTTTGCCAGCCCCTTCCCCGTCACTGAACGGAGCCACCGGCTCCGCTCAGCACCAGGTGTCCCTGGGACCTGCTGGTGGTTGTGCTGGCGTGTTGCCGTGTCTGAGGTGGACAGGTGAGAGCCCTGTCCTGCCCCCCGAGCCCCAGAGTCGGGGCTGGGGGGCGCGGGTCTGCGTCACAGCGCAGAGGAGGGCTGGGGGCGCGACCCCAGGGGACGCGTGGGGCTCTTCTGCGGCCTCCGGTGGGTGGGTTTGGGGTCTCCCACCTGGGACACGGGCGGGGTCTGGCCAGTGGACTTCTCTGGTGTTGGGACGGCCTCCCAGACCCCGGGGGACCCCTGGCAGGCGTGCCGCTGGCTGCCGAGGGGTCAGGCGGCCATTGGGCGGGGTTGGCTGAGTGGCGCTGTCCGACCTCTGTGGGGCGAGGATGCGACCCCGGGGCCTCTCCCGGCCTCTGTCCGAGGTAGAGGACCTGAGAGCCGCTTTGCCCCTGGCTGCAGCCCCCTGGGCACCTGCGAGGAGTCCCCTCCCCCCTGGGACCCCCAGGTGTCTCTGTGTTGGAGCTGATGCTCCTTGGGGCCTCCACCTGCTTCTCGGAGAGCTCAGGACCCTCCTGCTTTTTCCCAGGGGTTCTCCCTCCCCGGGAGTTGTCACCCTGTACCCAGAGAGGCCCCCTGTGGGCCCCCCGGACCGGCCAGGTCACGGCCTCTGCCAGCGAGCGCTCTCGGCAGAAATCAGCCACGAGCGTCAGGGAAGCTCGAGTGTCTGCCCGGACACGGAGGGTGGACCGGGGGCCCGGCGGGGACAGCGCGCCCGTGTCCTCCAGGCCGCAGGGCTCACAGTCGACACGGCTTTACGTGGGGACACAGGAGCTGGGGGGCAGTGAACACAGAACATTGGGTATCTGCTAGTGTGCACGTGTGCAAGGCGAGTGTGAGGCCGCAGCCCCTGCTGGGCGTGCACACCGCCTGGGTCTGGCAGCCGGCGCACGGGGGCCTCTCGTGCCCCCGGGAGAGCCCAGCCGGCGCTCTCGGACCTGGCTGGCACTCGGGGTGGCGGGGGGAGCCTGGTGCATCCGCAGCAGGACCAGGATGAGCCAGCTCCGATCTCTCTCCGCTTCCCCTGCTGCCTCCGGCCGTGCCACCGTCACGGCCAAGCCTGGGGCGCCACGCAGGGCGGGCACGGAGGGAGCGAGGTGGCCAGGCAGCGACCGAGCCGTCGGACAGCCTGCCTCTGCCAAGGCCGCCTGGTCCCCTCGCGTCCCGTGCAGCCAGGTCCGGGGACGCGGGCGGGTGGGGCAGCGGTGACGCCCAGGGCCCGTCTCTCGCTTGGCAAATACGTGCAGAGCGTTGAGTCAAGCTCCGACCGGCCCGCAGGACGGGGCCCGGATTCCCGAGGCTCTGGAGACGCACGGAGAATAGCAGTTCCAGGGCAACGCGGAAAAATGCCGGCCGAGTCAGCGCCAGATGCTCTGGGCACTGCCGCCGCCGTCGCCGCCGCCGGGGGCACCAGGGTTCTTCCCCGTGACCGTGGAGCCCCGCTGGGGGAGGGAGCAGGCGGGTGGGGGGGCGGGGAAGCCAGCCCCGACGGGAGGGGCCGGGCCTTCCCCGCGCTCCACCCTCTCTCTCCCTGGACCAGCCTCTGGCACGCACGCGTGTGCTGTCCGAGTTTGTCCCGTGTCGCGCGGGCTTTTCCAGCTTTCTCCCCTTGCTGGTTGCAATCACCGCCACACGTTAGTTTCTGGAACAGGGAACGGGATTTTTCCGAGCTGCCCAGTGTTTTATCTGCGGCTACATAGCTTTTTCTACGGCTGGGGTAATTTCCGGTTTCCCTGGCAGGCGGGAATCGGTGACACCGCTGGTTCCAGGGGCCGTGCCACCCCTGGGGGAGGGGGGTGGAGCAGCGCTGGGCGGGAGGTTTTGGCTCTTCCGTGACAGACTCCGCCGAGAGACGGGGCCACTGGGGCGCCCACGGGGAAGGACGTGCGGTGCTCGGACTCGCGAATGCGGTCATCGGGGCTGAGGGGGGCCCCACCCCCTGCAGGCGGGGAGCTGGAGACCAGCGAGCCCCGCGTAGCTCCGGCCCGAGTCCCAGCGCGGAGGACCCCGTGTTGCAGCCGGGACGCGGGCAGGCAGGGAGAAGAGCCCCGCTCCCCCACCCTGTCCGCCATCCCGGCCCAGACGGGGTCGGGCGAAGCCCGCTGCTGCTGTGGGGGAGGGCAGGGGGAGGCAGGACAGCCCGCTGCCTCCGCCCCACCTGTCGGTGCTCCTCCGCGTGCGGTGGCGGAGGGGACGTGGTTGTGCTGAGAATTTCACCACGTGCCTGTGGCACACCCCCACGCCGCCCACCGTGACCGCGTGGTGTCCCTTGTGGATCCTGCCTCAGCGGGGAGAAGCACCGACCGGCGGACGTCCTGTCCTCCTGGGCCTGTGTGGCGTGTGGCGTGGAGACGCGGTTTTGGAGGCGGTGCTGGTGCGCTGTGGCCTCCCCTCTTCCTGGGGGCCGCGCCGTGCAGAGAGGCAATCGGGGTGGCGGCCCCCTCCTGCGCCCGGAGAGGCAGGGGTCGGCCACTCTTGGTCCGAGTCGCCAACCTGGCCTTGACCAGACTCTCTCATCACCTTTGCCTTCGAGGGCGCAGAGTCCGTCCCCCCCAGACCTCAGAGGCACGGACAGTTCGGAGAGGAGGGCCCCTGGAGAAAACACCCCAGCCACTTCCCCCGGGGTCTGGGGGCCGAGGGCCGCTGGCCGCCCTACACCGGGACCTGGGCGAGGCCAGCACCTCCAGGCCCAGCTCCTGGGGAGGAGAGGGAAAGGGGGGTGAAAAGCTTGGGCCCCAGCAGCTGACCAGACCTGGGGCGGGGTTTTGACCTGTGAGGCCCTGGCCCCCCAGAACCCCCCACGCTTCCCGTCACTTGGAAGCAGGTGCCTGGAAGGGCTCCCTGGTGGCACCGCAATAACCTGGGGCCAGAACAGACCAGAGAGGTCGCTGGCCCCGCCCCGGGCAGCCCAGCTGTAGGGGGCCGGGAACCCGTCTCACATGCCCCCACGCCCGGGGGGCCCCTGTCCTTCCCTGGGGCTCACTGGGGCGTGAGGGGGCCTGTGTGGGCCCCCGGGGAGCCTGCAGCAGGATGCTGGGGCGTGCGCCCCCTTCCCCCGCGTGTCCTGCCGTCTCTGCCTGGAAACACGGGGGGTGGCGGCCAGGCCTGCTCTGCGGGTCCCCCCCTCGCGGGGGTGGGGCTGGGGGTGCCAGCACAGCTGCAGCCTCCGGGGGGCAGGGCCTGTGAAAGCCGATCAGTTTTCCCGGAAGTCTGCGTGGTCGGGCCTCCGGGCTGACCCCTGCCGCTCTGGCTCGCCCGGCGGCCCCAGGGAGGGTCCCACAGTAACTCAGCCGAGGGTCCAGGCCAGCACTCGGTCCTTGGCTGTCCCCTGGAGGCGGCAGGAGGGTGCGGCTCCCGGACCGCGGGGAGAGGGGACCTCGGGCCGCATCTTCCGGGGCGTCTTCCAGCGTCTCCGCGTCCTTCTGGGAGACGCTGTGGTTTCCAGGCGGACGTCCGTGCGTCTGGCTGCGCAGGGTTCCGGCCCCTGAGCTCCAGGGCTCCGGTCTGGCCGCCTGCACCCCCGGGGCAGTCCCCACCGGCCACCTGGACGCGGCTGCCCGCAGGGTGGGGACGGGTCCTTGCACACACGTCCCCGCACGCCGCGAGCTGCAGCGCGGCCTCAGCGGCCGGCAGCCTCCCCCGACCCGGGCTGTCCGTGTGCTGCCGGGCGTGGGGACTGGAGCGGGTCTCGCTGCCCCGGCCGCTGAGGTGTCTCTCTTCTCTTCCAGCCTGCAAGTACTCCTGCCACAGGCGATGTGAAGCCAAGGTAAGCGGCCGCTGCCCCCGCCCCTCCTCCCTTCGCCGCGCGCACGACACGCCTGGGAGGGGCCCCTCGGGACCGCGGCCCCCGAGGGGACTCCAGAAAGGGCTGCTCGGGGCTGCTGAGAGGGCGTGTGGTCTCCTCTCCACGAGGAGCTGGGAGCTGCGGAGCCGTGTTCTGGGCCACAGAAGACGGCGATCGGGCGTCTGGTTTCCGACGGGACCCTCCCGCCGGGTCCTGGCCACGTCACGGCCCTGTCTCCGTCACCCGCGGTCCCTTCTGTGGGACGCCGACGCTCTGTCTCTCGGGGCACGGGGGGCCAGGGCCAGGGTCCCGGGTCGACCCCCGGCCCCGAGGAGCCGGCTGGCTTCTTCCCGAGTAGTGGGCCACAGGGGGCTTGGGGCTCTCCACTGTTGCGGAAGTCGGGGGCCCTGGATGGGGGTCGTGGCCTTGCTTTTGCGTGCTCCCTGGAGGCTTGAGTAGCCGGCGGGCGGCAGGAAGCCCCGGGGGCCTGGAGTGCCTGGGCGGGTTCAGGGTCCGGTTCGTAGGGAAACGAGGCGACACACGGGAAGCTGCTGGCACCCCGGGGGGGGGGACCCCGGTCCTCTGCACAGTCCCCGTGTCCCCGCGTTGTCCAGACGCAGTGCTCCCTGCGGGGCGCCCGCCTCTCTGGGGGCCCGTCCGCTGTCCCTCAGGCCCCTGTGCAGGCGGCCCAGGGACTCGGGGTCGGGGTGTTGGCGGTTTGCTGCCGCTGTGGGCCTCGAGGGCCTGCTCTGCCGGAGAGTCCCCGCTGGTCCCCCGCTGGGGCGGGGTGGGGGGTCGCGGCCTGTGCAGGGGGCAGCTTCACGGCACCGTGAGCTGGCTGCACGTGAGGGCCTGGGGGCCTGATTTCCTCCCCTCCCGCCATGCACACACACAGATACATGCAAGCACACATACTCACATACGCATGTAACACAGACATGTGGTATCCACACATGCACTCTCACATGTGTGTAACAGACATGTGATGTGTACACACAGGTGGACGCCTGCGGGCACACATGCAGTTCACCCTTGCGCACACACTCACAGACATGCACACCGGTGCACAAATGCACAGTGTACACTCGTGCACACACAGATGGGTGCCTGCAGGCACACACATGCTATTCCCACTCACACACTCACAGACGTGCACAAATACAGTGCACACACATATTTGTGTCGCATGCACACACACACAAAGTAAGAACTACAGGCAAGCCCAGCCCTGTGGTTTTTTGGGTTTTTTTTTTTTCAGGAAAGAGGTTAGATGACTTTCGTTTTAAACTTCCCCACGGAGAACGGGGGACAGGTGCAGAGTGGTACGACCCCCCCCCCCGCCCCATCCTGTCACCCAGCCCCCCACCTGCAGCCCCTCCTGGGCTCTCTCTCCCAAGCCCCCGTCCCTGGCGGCCTCTTCCGAGACGCCCCGTGATCTGCGATTTCCACCGTTGCCAGCGCCGGCGTCTGCGGCGGGGCTGTGGGCGCCTCTGCTGTCACTTGCGGTCTCACTTCCGGCCTCGCCGTGGGGACGGCTGGCCCTCTCTGCGGGAGGCGCCTGCTCGCACACACTCGGGGGCGGGCTGCCTGCTGGCCAGTGCGGTCCAGGTCGGCCGCGCCCACAGGGCATCGCCCGGTGCGCTCTGCACTGGCACCGAGTCCCGGGGGGAGCAGAGGTTCCCGTGAGCGGGGGGCGGGGGCGGTGAGGGCGTAAATGCCCCCCTGGGGGAGGCTTCAGCTTTCAGAGAGGGCTTTCCCCGCTCTCTCGTCACCGCCGAGACGAGCCCCGGCTCTGAGGGTCTCCTCCGTGGGCAGCCTCTTCCGGCACGGCCTGGGACTCATCGCCGCAGGGAGTGGGGGCCGCGAGGGGGCCACCCCAGTGGGGCCGCCTTCCTGTGTCCCTCCTGCATTTGTGCGGGAGTGTGCATGCCAGTGCCCGAGTGAGTGTGTGTGCGTGCACGCGTGCCTCGTGTGTTTGTGAGTGCACCACAGCACGGGCCACGTGTGTGGACACGCATGGCAGTGCATGTTTGTGGGAGTGTTCTGTGTGTGTGTGTTAGTGTGCAGGCGTGCATCCTACTGCCCCTGGGCATGTGTCTGTGTGCATTTGTGTCTGTATTGTACACACATGGGTGTAATGTGTGTGTAAATGTGTGTGCACTGTGTATGGGTATGTGAGTGTGCGTGGCACCGCGTGTTTGTGAGCGTGGACTGTGTTAGTGCGCAGGTGTGCACGCCAGTGCACGGGTGGGTTTGTGTTGTGTGCCTGTGCGGGTGTGGGTGTGTGTGGTGGCACTGTGTGTGTGTGTGCACATGCACCAGGCATATGTGTGCGGGCGTGCACACCTGTGATGGTACTGAGTGTGTGTGTGTGCGTGTGTGGGGGCGTGCACACCTGTGACGGCACTGCGGCCCGGACACCCTGACTGGCCGCGGCCGCAGGCCTGACCGCGTGGCAGTCGGCTCCGTTCCTCCGCCGAGGCCCAGCCAGCCCCCGGGGGGACGGGTTCTCGGGTTCAAAGGCTGCGGCGCCGGGGGTCCATGCTGTTGCCGACCGCGGCGCTCCCGGCCGCAGGAGTTGGCGGCCTGCTGCGCGGCAGACAAGCTTCTCCCCGCGCCAGGTCGCGGTCGGGGAACCGCGTCCACACTCCTTTTTCTCGGGAATGCGGCTTCGCGGGGCCAGGGAGAGTGCCACCAGCCGCAACAAAGACCCTCCTTATTCCCGAGCCCTGCCGCCGCCGCCGGGGGGTCGGGGGGGCCGAGAGCCCTCAGCCGCCCCTGGAGACCGGTGGGGGCGCCGCCGAGACGTGGCTGTGCCACACGGCTGGGCCCGAGGTCGGCGCCTCTCTCAGCGCTGGCGCGCCGGGTTTCTCGGAGACGGCGATGCCCCGGCCTCACTCCCGACGCGGTCCGGCCCCTGCTGCCCTGGGCTGGCGCCGCCTCGGGTCCCCTCCGGGGTGGTCTCCAGGCCTGGCGGGAACATCGCAGGAAAGGGCGAACCAGCGAGCTCCTCCGAGCAGGCTGGCGTCCGGGGACATGCTGTGGTCATCGCCCTCTGGGCAGCAGCCGCCGCCAGAGGCTCCCGACCAGGCCCGGGGTGGGGGGGACACCCCTCTGTGGAGCGGCTGCTGGGGGGGGGGCCGTCCTGCACGGACCAGGCTGCTCGTGGGCCGGCGGCCCCGTGGGAGGCCAGGCTGTGGGCTGGGTGCCGGAGTGCGGACCGGGGCCACCACGCTCTGGCTGGCCCCCAGGCAGCGCATCCCCTGGGTGAGGCTGTGCTTGCCGTCGGGGAGACCCAGAGGCAGAGCCCTGGGAGCCCCCGGGGGGAGGTGGGGGGCCGGTCTGCTGCAGCAAGTCCAGCCCTGGGGGCTGCGGTTTCTTCAGGGGTCAGGAGGGCGAGCAGCACTTCCCTCCGTCCACCTGTAGATGGCGCTCTCTCAGCTCCTCTTCGTGGGGAGGCTCGCTCTTGAGGTTTGGGGAAGTCCCATAATTCCAGTGCAGTTGCTGGAGGCTGGGGACCCCGGACTCTCCGTCCCCACGGGCGGGACAACCTCAGCCGAAGCCCAGGCCTGCACCGCGTGGGCCCGCACGGACGCGGCGTGGACTCGAGTGGGGAAGCCCTGCAGCCGCGGGACCCACGGAGAGAGGAGCAGGGAGGCCAGCGCCTGACCTCCAGCCCCGCAGTGGGCACCGGCCCGTGGGTCTCGGCGCCTGCGCGGCGGCCCCTCCGACGGAAGCAGCCGTCGCCGTGACGCGCGTGCGGTGCCCAGCTGCGGTCCCCCCTGCCAAGGACGTCCCCGTCGGGGTCGGCGGGGACCCGGTCGGGCGGCGAGAGGCCGTCCCGCTCCTGGAGAACAAGCCTCAGGGGCCCCGGGCGCGGAGGGGCAGGGCCCGGCCGGGCACACACGCCCAGCCCCTCGCACACTCGTAACTCCACTCCTGCGGACGGGCACACGCAGCCGGGCACGCCCACTCCTGCCCACTCCCGCCCACCCCCGGCTCGCTCACCCCGGGGTGCAGCCGCCCGGGTCCCGGCCCGGCCCGCTGGCCTGTGCACCTGCCGCCCGGGGGCCGGGCTGCCGGCGGCGGCCGCAGGTGCCCCGTTGGCAGGTGCGGCAGGCGTGGCCTGTTTGTTTGCCCTCGCCCTGGCAACCGGGACGGGGCCCGCGCGGGGCCACCGCGGGGCCGTAAAGTGGCCGTGGCCTCCGGGCCTCGGGGGACTTCCTGCTCCCCGGCGGGTGCCGCCCTGCCGCCCTGCCGTGTCCCCGTGGTCGCCTCTCCCCACTGCTCCCCCCGGGGCGCCTTCTGCTGAGAGAGGAGCCCCTCCTTCGGGGGGGGCACGTGGAGTTCCCACCCAGCAGAGGCCCCCTCCTCCCTGATCTGCCCGCCAGCGGCCCCTGCAGGACATGCCCGGTGGTTGGGATGAGAGCCCCGTACCTGCTGTGACGTCAGCCCCGTGAGTGCGCCCCGTGGGGGCGGGGCCTGTGCCGTCCCTGCCTGTGCCCCCTCCCCCTTCCTCACAGCACAGGCTGGGTGCTCAGTGAGGGGCCTGCCCAGGCCCAGGGCCAGCACTCGGGGCTCTGCGGGCAGCGTGTGTGGCGGGCGGTGTCCCCAGCCTGTGGGGTGGCTGTGGCCGCGTGCTGGCCTTCAGCTCCGTTGGAAGAGGGGCGGGCGCCTGCGGAACCCCGGGGTCCTTCCTGCCGGGGGAGGCCCAGCTGACTTGGGCATGCCCCAGGGGCATTTCCTCTGGCCCCCCCCACCCTGGACACAGCGGGAGAGCCCGGGCTCGCGGGGCCCGGGGGCAGAGCCGGCGGGAGCGGGGAGAGAGCAGGTGAGCAGCTGGCGCCCTGGCCTGACCCCCCACCCTGCCGCCCCGGGGAGTCACCGGGCGACTCTGTGATAAGAAGGTGCTGCTCCAGGGGGAGGGGCAGCGGGCCGCTGTTAGAGGGGCAGGTGTAAGGGTGGGGCAGAGGGCCTGGGCC